CCTTGCTTTGGACTGCACATGGGAATTTCTCCATCAGCCCCCTTCCAAACCACAAGCTAGGGTTACAGATGTGAATTGCGCAAGACAAGGTAACAGATAGGTTTCATTTCTCTACTTTTCTAAATCCATTCAAATCCCACCCCCCTACCTGCTGAGACCAGTAAAAAAGTTAATATTTGTAGTGTTTTGTGACTTCTCCTCCTTCTCTCCTGTGTTGTACCGAGACTCCAAGGCTAGGGCAGGATTTAGGAGAAATGGGAGAGAGAGAAACCATTGCGCTGGGGGACGTCTGGGTGTGAGGCAGGGTCAGCATCCGTGTCCTCTGCGCCGAGCTCAGCCGCGGCTCCCAGGGCCCAGTGGAATGGGAAGATGCAGGTGCACTGACTGCTGCTTTGCGCCGAGGAGGGCAGCGTCTGTAGGGGAAAGGGAGGAGCAAAACATGGGTATGCTTTGCTCTCGGAAGTGTTGCGTTGTTCTTTAGACCACGCTAGGATCATCAGCCAAAATGTTGGCACCGCCCTCCTGCTTTCTGTGGCCGTCAGGCCTTTATGCTTCGAGATGAGGGAGGAAGACAGCTTTCTGAGGTCTGCTGAGGCGGGGTGAGGCCGTCCACCCAGGTTAGCTGAGGAGAGGAGGGGACAGGTTCTTCAGGAGGAGGTGGGGAGAGGGCCTGTGTGAGCCCGCCACCCTCACAGGGGGGCCTAGCATGGGGGTGGTCATGAAGGCTCTGAGCACTACGGGGCTGGCCCCGGCCTTGCCTCCTCCCCAGAAAGCCTGTCCTTGCAGTGAGACTTGCCCTCAGCTGAGTTCTTTGCCATGGCTCATTCCCATTGGACTGAAACTTGCTCACATTTTCCTTTTTTAAAAAAGTTTTTTTTTTTTTTTGAAAGGCAGAGTTACAGAGAGAGAAAGAGGGAGAGAGATCATCTATCCACTGGTTCACTCCCCAAATGGCTGCGACAGCCATGGCTGGGCCATGCCAAAGACAGGAGCCAGAAGCTTCTTATGGGTCTCCCATGTGAGTACATGGGCTCAAGCACTTGGGCCGTCTCTGCTGCTATCCCAGGTACATTAGCAGGGAGCTGGCTCAGAGGTGGAGCAGCCAAGACTTGAACCAGTGCCCATACGGAATGCCAGCGTTGCCGGTGGCAGCTTTGTTTGCTGGGCCACAACACTGGTAATAGGACCTGGATTTTCAAGGTTCTTTGTGGTTTGACCACTTCTTAAGACTGGAGTTTACTTTCTTGTGCTTCCCTCTGTTATCCTTGTTTCAGCCACACAACTCGGAGTCTTTGCCTGTGCACTTTCCTTTACTTGCAGCAAGGTTTCTCTTCCTGCCTATGCTTTAAGTAGTTTGAAGCTGATGGAAGCTTCTCCTGGCCCCGTGATCCCCGTCTAGGTTAGGGCCCATTTTCTCCAACATGTCTACAACATCTTCACCAGCCACAACACCCTCTCCCATCTCCTTTGTTAGAATTGCTTGTCATCCATGTCAGGACATAAATTCTGTGACAGCAAGGACAATTTTCACCTTATTCATTGTTATATCCCTAACCTAGTGTGGACTCTGGTACTTAGTAACTACTCCTACTTGTTCTGTTGAATGAATGGGGCCTGGAATCATTAAAATGCGTCTTTCTTTTTTTAAAGATTTATTTATTTATTTTAAAGGCAGAGAGAGAGAAAGATCTTCCATCCTCTGGTTCACTCCCCTAAATGGCTTCAATAGCTGGAGCTGGGCCTGTCTGAATTCAGGAGCCAGGAGTTTCTTCCAGGTCTCCCACATGGGTGCAGGGGCCCAAGGACTTGGACCGTCTTCCGCTGCTTTCCCAGGTGCATTAGCAGGGAGTTGGATTTGAAGTGGAGCAGCCAGGATTTGAACTGGTGCCCCTATGAGATCCAGCACTGCAGGCAGTGGCTTTACCCACTATGCCACAGCGCCAGCCCATAAAATGCATTTTTTTAAAGATTTATTTTTATTTATTTGAAAGACAGAGTTACAGAGAGAAGTGGAGAGAGAGAGAGAGTGAGCGAGAGAGAGAGAGAGAGAGGTCTTCCATCCTATGGTTCATTCCCCAGATGGCCTCAATGGCTAGAGCTGTGCCCACCCAAATCTAGGAGCCAGGATCTTCTTCCAGGTCTCCCACGCAGGAGCAGCGGCCCAAGGACTTGGACCATGCTCCACTGCTTTCCCAGGTGCATTAGCAGGGAGCTGGATCAGAAGAGGAACAGCCGGGCATCTTTACTGGAGTGCTGCTACTTGCTTGCTCTGGGGGCCTGAGCAAGTCACCTATCCCTTCCGAGCTTCAGTTTTTTCACCTGTGAATTGAGATGATGATACCTGGGTGTGGGGAGCAACTCGGACTAGACTGTTACTCGAATTAAGACTTATTCTATGCATCTGCTCTCCCACAATATGGCGCTGGGAGAGGAGGAAACAGCTTCTGCACAGCTGCCTCCAGTTCAACCAATAAACAGCAGGACCTGCTCCTGATTGGAGGCGAGCAGCGTACTCGGCGTGTGGGTAGCAGAGTTGGGATGGGCGGAGGAGGACTATAAAGGAGGAGAGAGACAACATGCACCAGGAACATCTAAGGGGAACACCTGAGCAGCCCCCGAGAGAGCCGGCCGGCGGTGTGCCGCTCCCCCGCGGAAGTGGGGAAAGTGGCAGGGAGAACCGCCCTTCCACGGAGGTGGAAGGGTCGGTAGCCAACCCGGGAAGAACCAGCAGCAAACCCGGGGAGGGCCGAGCAGACAAAAGAACAACGCAGGGTCCTGTGTCGTTCCTCCATGAAGAGGGGGAGCGACACCTGGGCACCTAGGACAGGCCTGTGTGAAGATCAAGTAAGATAGTGGAGTATGTATGAAATACTATGTGGCTCAAATAGTAGGTAAATGTCATTAAGTTACTTATTAAGAAAATCTGTGTTGTAATCTCATCTATAGTACTCATATATATAATCTCAGATATAGTACTTAAGCAACCTTAATCTAAAATGGCTCCCTTGGGTCCAGTATTATCATTAGAAAGAATCTACAGTCCAGTATCCCAGAAGCTCTGAAATATTGCAAATATTGTGCAGAGTTTCTCAGAGGGCAGAGGGCACTCTTGTTGCTAACACAGCAGTTTCTCATTTTCTCTTTATCCACCTCACTGCGCAGAGTCTGCCTCATGATGGTGAGACCTGAGCCTGGATCAAGGCGCGGCTCTTTTAGACTAGGCCTCCGTCTTGTAACTCGGGCCTGACCGGGCCCTGAACCCTAAGCCAAAAGCTCCTAAGGAAGAAAATAAAACTCCCCTTACGATAAACTCTCCTAGCAACAGCCAGTTAACAGATAGCAGGGAAATACGCAAAGTTCCAGGTGTCTTCAGGCAGTTAAGTGATTGACAACATCCCCAAACCCTGCAGTTTGGCATGTACACCCTAGCAGCTCGGACCCTGAACTTTAGCCGATCATAAAATGACAAGTATAAATTTAAAATATAAGATGCTGTGCAGCCGAACTTGTTCGTTCAACTGTATAAAAACCCCAACGACCTTACTGGAGGGGCCGCCGATCCAGCCCAGCCTGGTGCAGACGTCGGTCCAAACTCGAGTTTGAAATAAAACTCTTGTGTTTGCATCAGCCTCGGCTCCTGGTGATCTTAATTGGTGGGAATCGGACGCTTCGGATACAACAATGGCAGCTGTTGCCTAGGCCACCCTAAAAGGAGAACTGTGTATGTGGTTAAAACTTTCAAGTGGCCACATTTGTTTTAAAAAATTAAGAAACGGGTAAAATAAATTTTAACAACCTACTTTACTTAACTCAGTATGTCTAAAATACTGTAATATGTCTAAAATGTCACTTTAATACTATAATCAATTTATTGTTTAAAAGATTAATTTATTTATTTGAAAGGCAGAGTTACAATGAGGCAGAGGCAGAGACAGAAGTCTTCCATTCATTGCTTCACTCCCCAAATGGCTGCAACAGCTGGAGCTGGGCCGATGAAGAGCCAGGAGTTTCTTCCTGGTTTGCCACGTGGGTGCAGGGGCCCAAGGATTTGGGCCACCTTTTGCTGCTTTCCCAAGCACATCATCAGGAAGCTGGAATGGAAGTGGAGAAGCCCTGACTAGAACTGGTGCCCATATGGGATGTGGGCACTGCAGGCGGTGGCTTTACCCGCTGCTACGCCACAGCGCCAGGCCCCACCGTAATCAATTTAAAAGTTGTTAGTGAAATAGTTTGCATCCCTTTTGGAAAAGATTTGTTTATTTATTTGAAAGGCAGTGTGACAGAGAGGGAGAGAGGGAGGGAGGGAGGGAAGGAGAGAGAGAGAGAGAGAAAGAGAGAGAGAGAGAGAGAGAGGTCTTCCATCTGCTGATTCACTTCCCATGTGGCTGCATGGCCAGGCGCTTCATCCAAGTCTCCCACATGGGTGGCGGGGGCCCAGGCTCTTGGGCCATGTTCTGTTGCTTTTTCCAGGTGTGTTAGCAGGGAGCTGGATTGGAAGTGGAGCAGCTGGGACATGAACCAGCACCCATAATGGATGCCAGCCTTGCAGGTGGTGGCTTTAAAAGCCGTGCTTTTACGTATAGTTGCCACTAATGTGAACTTCACTGCACACCCATGTGGTAGACATCAGCATCTCCGTTTTACAGTCGTGGAAACTGCGGCTCTAAAGAGTTAATTGTCACTGTCAGCTGGCTGGCATCTCTTACTCTCCATCCTTCCCTCACTATTCCTTTACTAAAACTTTCTGATTTGGGCCTGGGCAGGGCTTGCACTTGCCGGTCAGTGGGAACATTTATTCCATCCCTCTTTCGTTTTCTTATCTGCCTTTTGTTTTCTCTACAAAGCAGCTTTTATAATGGTGAGGCAGTATTTCAGTGCTTTGGTTTGCTGTGCTACATATGATCTGGACTAGTTTAGAAAATTACTTAATTCAGTCACTTACATAGCATTCGCCTTTTCGAGTTTGTCTTCTGAAACCCCTGATGACTTTTTTTTTCCAGAGAGATTGGAACGATTGTGAGGTCCCTGGGGTGCTGCCCCAGCGAAGGTGAGCTCCACGACCTGATTGCGGAGGTGAGTGTGGCATCTGAGAGTGGCTCTGTCACTCTGACTCCTCGTCACTGAAGAACAAAATCCTGTGAAGCTTGGAATGCGCTCACTGAAAATATTAGGAAGGCTCTGCGTATCGGTCAGCCAGCAGGATCTGAAACATGAGGGAGCCTGTGAGCCAGGAACGCAGCTGGCGGAGCGCTCGTGAAATCCCCACGGTGGCTATTGGCCCTCTTTAAGTTCAGCTGGAGGAAGGCCAGGAGAGCTGACTGGACTGACCCAGTGCAGAGCGACAGAGGAAATCATACCAGCCCAAAGGGGACAGAAGCAGAAATAGACAATGCAGGGATTCATTGGGGGAAATAGAAATAACTTTCAGAACGGGTAGTAAACAGGAAAACAGTACCTAGCTTTATTTGTAATGCTGTCAAAAACCAAAAATCACAACAAATCTGAAGACATTGATTAGCTTTATTTGCAGCCCTAAAATTGGGCAGCACCTCATTCCAAGGGGTGAGTGGAAGAAGTGTTCCCCCGGAGCTGAGCAGAAGAGCTTGGTTTGAATGGCAGAGGAGGGCCGAGGAAAGCAGGAACGAGAACAAAGAGCGGATTGGTCGGTTCAGAGTTACTTTGCTGTGAAGGTGGGGACAGAAAACTGAGTGATTAACATCAGGTGACTTTGTTTTTGATGAGGATGGAAATAGAGGGAGCTTCATTGTCACGGGGACTGAAAGTGTTCTGTAGGGGAGATTTGGTGTCATCTCTCCCTTGATTTCTGGGCAGGTCAGGTAACAGCCTAATTTGGTGATGTGCAGTTTTGCTGTGAGTGACTCCATCTTGATTTGTAGTCTAGTCTGTGGGGACCCAGTGCAGGAGTCTAATCCACAATAAGGGCCACCTGTAATTTTTTTTGTGTGTGTGTGTGGTATAGATGAGTCTCCAGAGAAATAAAGCAGTGCATGAGCAGCCCAAGGCCCTAGAGCTTCAACCCTGTTTATCTTTCCAGGAAGGTCTCAGATCTAATTTCGAATGCAGCTTCTAGCTCAATAAATAAAGCAGAGACCTTGAGTGGGAAAAGCTACCTGGGCCACCAGCAGGACCACTTTGTCCAGACTGCTTACCTAGGCATGAGATTTTTGGAGGAAATCAGGGATTAACAAAGAGGATTAGAGAAGAAGGCAAAGAAGGCAGATTTTGTCTCCTATTCCTTGTCCCGAGCACGGTGCTTGCTTACTTATTATTGTTTGCAAGAAAGAAATTGTGACTTTGGCTGAGTCACTTCTCAGTTTGCTTCAGAGATGAGCGAAATAACGTGTCAGAGGCCTGCTTGGAACCCTAACATGTGCCGTAAAGTTCTGGAATGGCAGGCAGAAAGATGACTGCGGCCCAGATATTAGCACTTTGGGAACTAGAAAGCAGTACTAATTTTTCACTTACATTTAAGAATATTTATTAAAGAAATCTAAATTTTCAGATTACATTGTATTTTCTATTTATAGGAGATTCAGTAAAGTAGTTTTTACTAAGAATAGGGAGAAAAAGTGTATGTTTCCTGAGTGGGTGCTTCCATTAAAACCACTGCCCAGGGGCAGGTGTTATGGCATAGCGGGGAAAGCTGCTGATGCCAGCATCCCATATGGGTGCGAGTCCGGGCTGCTGCACTTCCTATCCAGCTCCCTGTTAACACACCTGGGAAAGCAGTGGAGAATGGCCCAAATCTTTGGGCCCCTGCACCCGCATGAGGGACCCGGATGAGGCTTCTGGCTCCTGGCTTCAGATCCGCTCAGCTGCGACCATTGTGGCCATTTGGGGAGTGGACCAGCAGATGGAAGATTTCTCTCTCTCTCTCTCTCTCTCTCTCCCTCTCTCTCTCCCTCCCTCTCTCTCTCTCTCTGTCTCTCTCTCTTTCTCCCCCTCCCTCCCTCCCTCCCCCTTCCTCTCTCTGTAACTCTGCCTTTCAAATAAGTAAATAAATTTTTAAAGGCAAGTTTCTACCTTAAAATATTTATCTATATAACTGGAATAGGTGTTAGAAAGAGGCAGGCTGGCCGGCGCTGCGGCTCACTTGGCTAATCCTCTGCCTGCGGCGCCGGCACCCTGGGTTCTAGTCTTGGTTAGGGCGCTGGATTCTGTCCCGGTTGCCCCTCTTCCAGTACAGCTCTCTGCTCTGGCCCAGGAGTGCAGTGGAGGATGGCCCAAGTGCTTGGGCCCTGCACCTGCATGGGAGACCAGGAGGAAGCACCTGTCTCCTGGCTTTGAATCTGGACAGCGCACTGGATGTAGCGGCCAGTTGGGGGGTGAGCCAATGGAAGGAAAACCTTTCTGTCTCTCTCTCACTAACTCTGCCTGTCAAAAAAAAAAAAAAAAAAAAAAAAAAAAAGAGGCAGGCTGGCACTGTAGAATAGGTAGGAGCCGGAAGATAATTACAGTGAAATCACAAGTATTGCTGCCCGTTCAGTGGAGTAAGCAGAGCAGTAATGGAAAACGTCCCTGAGGGTCAGAAAAGGGGCATGGTTAGAGCCACGCTTTTTGTCTGTATGTGGGGTCAGCAAACCATGGCCTCTGGCCAGATCAGCCCACCTCCTATGCCTGTAGTTCAGACGTCCCTGTAACACAGCTGAGCTTATTTATCTCCGGTAATCCACGCTGTTTCCTCAGTGGCTGAGGCACAGATGTGTGATGTGCACAGGTTAAAGCATTTACTCTCAGGACCTTTGCAGAAGGAATTTGCCAAATCCTCACCGCTCTCTGTGCCAAAGCAGAACAACGCCCACACCTAGTGCCAAAGAGCTGGGCAGATCCCACAGCTCCCACATAGAGCCATGTGGCCTTCGGTGAGCTGCCTGGTCTTTCACAACCTGCCTTCCCGTGTGCAACAGGAGTGTGGTAATATCCCAGTGTTTTCACGAGGATTAAACATCACAATGGGAGTCAGTATTTTTTGGTGGGCACTCAGTGCATATTTGCATTTTCTTGCTCTGCAGGTGACTCCGCTGGAATATCCCTGCTGATTTAGGGACCTAGCTACAGTGGGGGCTTCCATCTCAAAGTTTCATTTTGTCTTTGCCTTATTTTTTGGACATTGACATGACCTTTGACAGTTACAGATGTTTAGAGACCAGTGAGGATGGCTGAGCTGAGCTCTGTCCATGTTTTTCTGTATTTGTAAACCAACACAAATGATTCTAACTAAATCCTACCAGCAGGCTTGAACAGCTGGGTGTGACTGTCCTTTTTGAACTTTCCTGGCTAAATGGGGAGTGAGGGGACACACACATGTTAGTATTTATCAAGTATGCTTGGGAAGTCAAAACTCTGTGAGAGTAAGCATTTAGGGGTAAATGTCTTATTGCTAAGTGCCCCGTAATAGTTTTTGTAGATCAAACTATTTAAGTGTGTTTTTGTGAATGTTTTAAAATTGTGCGATAAAAAACTAAAACCTGTGTATTAATTCTTTAGTTGACATCTAGTTGAATTTTAGTGGAGATAGCACATTTCTGTCTTTAACTTGTGTACCTTTCAACCCTCTGCTTTCTGAATCTGAATTTGAAGTCTGATGTTTTTCTTGAAATAGATCACTTTAGGACACCAGGCAACACCGACCCATTCTCTTAATGTTCTATAACAGCACCTTGCTCCCAGTGATCTCGGCCTGTTCGTAGTATCACAAGCTAGCGACTGTGAGGGGTGTTAGAGGAAATCTTGCTGACATACATACAGGTTTCCAGGTAACCTTCCTTCATAGTAAGTTACAGCCATCTGTGTCTTCACCGCGTCGGAGCTGGGCGGAGGGAGGGGCATTTTAGTAGAGGGGAAAGAGTATCTGGAGTCTGCATCCTTGAAGGTCAAACCTAAGTGGAATTATGGAGACTTGAACCCAATTACAGAGGAGAGCTAAAAGCTAGTTGAGGAAGAAGACCTGTGTTGGTAAGAAGATTGGCTCAGGTGTGGGAACCAAGCAAGGATTCTGACTTATGGGAGGAGGGTGACCATCCTCAACCTCGCCGGCCCGTGTCGGTTGTGGATGGTGAGTGGTGGGCTTGTCGCCTGCCCGTCTCTTTTGCTGTTAAGCATACTACACTCTGTTAACTGCCTCTACAGTTCCTCGTGGCTCACGCTTCAGCCTCACTGAGGCCTTTTAGCTGCGTGATGAAGCAGCTTTCTCTGGCTTCTGTTCCCTGGGCGGGGAGAGGCCAGCTGGCCAGTCTTTCCATTGCATACCAGCAAGCCCGGGTGCGTACTGCCTGCAGAGGTGGCCATCTCAGCGCTTGGCCATAGCAGTGCCCGCCTCCCTGCACGTTTCTGGTGTCCTTAGGGAGCGCTGTGTCCTCGGAGCCTTCTCATGGAACGTAATCCGCTGCTGTTTTTCTGATTCTTAATGCATCCGTCCCATCTGCCCAGCCTTTCTACTTCCTGCAGTGTTTGGTCACCATTTGTTCCGGATCTCTAAGAGCCACCTCCTCATGGGCACTTTGCCCCATCTCCTGGAGTCCTTGCCGGGGTTATAGGTGCTGTGTCCTGAGACAGTGCCCAAAGTCAGAGAATTCTCGCTTGGCCAGTCTGTGTCCCAGGCGTCTTGGTCAAACACTACTGCCATCTCAGGGAGCTCTCCCAGCTCCCGCCAGTGCATACTTGGCCATCTCAGTGTCATCTCTCTCCTCCCAGCCTAGTTGTGCTGGGATTTATCCCCAGCTGCCTGGAGAGGCGATGGGGCGGCAGCACACAGATGGGCTACCTCCTCCCAGGATGGCCAACACCCTCAGGGGCCTCCATCGATTTCTCCAGCCCATATTTCAGTGTGCCAGGTTTCTGCAACCAGGAAAAACTCTCACCTCTCTTGGTGGGGAATCTAAACATCTCTGGATGTCTTCTGCCTTGTTTGCTGTTTCAAGGATGTATATGGCTCACAAACTAAACCTCCCCACAGCCTGCTTTGTATAGTCTGTGAGCTAAGGATGGTTTCTGCATTTTTGAAAGATTCTGAGAATAAACAAAGATGTGCAACCAAGGTCCTACAGGCTCTG